AGTGAAAATAAAAATCCAGTGGGGAGAACAGTTAGTCCTTTGGGAAGGCACTTGGAGTAGCAGCACAGGCAGCTGCAGGGCTGTGAGCGGGAGGTCTGAGACAGCGGCTTAAAGGGATTAGTGGGGAGGGACGAGGCTGGAGAAGCTAATTATAAAGTTGGTGCCAGAGATGAGCGAGGATTACAAGGCCTCTTTGTGCACCAAGGTTTTGAAAATGAGAGAAGAATCCTTCCCCGTCAGAGGAATGGGATAAATAGGGAGGCAGGTAAGGAAGGGAGATGTGGGCGCTGGAGGAACTGTAAGCAGGGACCATGGCTGCGGCAGGCACATTAGCGAGGGTCTGGCGTGGTCTGAACCACATGGAAGCAGGGACGACTCCTCACCGGATTATAATTACTCAACTATCAGCTTATTGGCAGGCCTGGGCGCTGTAGGAGGCTCTGGGAAACACCTGCCTTATTAATCAGTATTAATTTCCTGGGTCCCTGCTATGTGCCAAGTTTGGGGCTGGGTGCCCCGGGGAGCACTGGTTTTGCCTCCCAGGCCTTGGGGTAGATGGCCAGGAAGGATACAGCCCAGGATGTGGGAAATGTCAGGGAACCATGCTGAACATGGAAGTTGCCCCACAATTGGGAGCTGGGGAAAGTTCCACAAAGGAGGGGAGCTCAGGCAGGGTGCAGAAGGGTGGGGTGGCCTGAGACAGGCAGTTGGATTGGAGCGGGGACTTCCTGTAGGAAAGAGCAGGAGCGGAGAGGCTTAAGGAGCAGACCTGCGAGGCCTCGAATTGTGGGATAAAGGGTCTGAGCTTTTTCTGCAGACACTGCCAGCTTCTTGAAGAGGTCGGAGCACAGGAAACATCTAGGTAAAACCTGGGTTTCAGGACCACTTGGCCTGCAGGTACACAGGACAGAGCATGGTGTGGTGACCTGGAGAGAAAGAGTCAGGCTTCTGCAGGAGTTCCAGGTGAGGCAGTGAGCGCCACCAGTGGGAATAGAAATGAGCAGTTGGACAAATGGCCTTGACCCAACCATGAAAGGCCTGAGCCCCCAGTGTCCATGCAGTGGGCTGAGGTTCACCCCAGGATTCATCAGCATCTTCCAAAGACTTTGGAGGATGGGAAGGAGGGCATTCTTTTCATAGAAAAGCAAACATCACCATAGAATGGAGAAAGCACACAACATCGAGTGGTGACATCCTCTTTGTGTTACAAGTCTCCTTGTCTGCACTCTGGTCCCTGAAGGGTTTGGGACCCTCTCACCCGGTAGTTGAAGGATGAAAGTTCAGCTCTCCGGGCATCCCCCAGGGCCACACATGAGACTTGGCACTGAGAGAGTGGGCAAGGTGCCCAGGCCTCCTGACTGCTTGCCCTGTGTTCTTGCATCTGTATTCTATGGTCTTCTCCTTATTTACCCACCTCTTTAGGAGATAAACCCCAAGGTATTCAAAGGAGTTCAGGTGGTAGAGTCAAGTAAGAGAAATAGCAAGAGGAAGGAAAGGAATCAAGATGTATTGGTGCTTGCTCTGTTCCCAGTGCTCTATCTGCATAAACTCATTTACTCATTGTAACCACTCTACAGAGTGAATGTGGCTGCATCGAACAAGCAGGTCCACCACAGAGCATGTCATTCACCTCCTGGGTCACATGGAGTAAAGGGGGGGGGTGCGGTGTGGAATTTGAACTCACATCTATCCGATGCCAAACCTTTGGCCTTCATTCTATTCCATCAACATGGATTAACTTGCCCTGCTGCCTTGGCTAAGTGGTTGACCTTTGACCTATGAAGCAGGAGATCACCGTTCTATTCCCTGTCAGGGCACATGCCTGGATTACGGGGGTCAATCCCCAGTGGGGGATGTGCAGGAGGCAGATAATCAATGATTCTCTCATCATTGATGTTTCTATCTCTCTATCCCACTCCTTCTCTCTCTGAAATAAAAAAAAATACTTTAGAAAATGAATTAACCTGCCCATACAGTGCAGAGTGGAACAAATTTGGAGTGGGCAGGAAGCACCTTTGTCTCGAACAGGAGAGAGAAAATGACGAATCTCTGGGCTACTCTCTGACTCTCTTCCTCTGATCGATTGCAGCTGCCTGGGCCTCCACGCCATGAACAGCACCCCAAGGGATGCCCAGGCCCCAAGCTACCGCGAGTGCCTCCTGCCTTCTGTGGCCCGGAGCCCCTCTGTCACCCAGGTCACGCCAGCCAAGAAGATAACTTTCCTCAAGCGAGGGGATCCTCGGTTTTCTGGGGTTCGCCTGGCTGTCCACCAACGCACCTTCAAGAGCTTGGGCACGCTGATGGATGAGCTCTCCCAGCGCGTGCCCCTCTCCTTTGGGGTGCGCTCTGTCACCACGCCCCGAGGCCTGCATGGCCTCAGCGCCCTGGAGCAGCTAGAGGATGGTGGTTGCTACCTCTGCTCCGATAGGAAGCTGCCCAAGACCTCCAGTGCGCCAGGCCGGCCGCGGGAGAGAAGTCCCTCTGCTCAGCAGTCCCAGGATGTCGAAGACCAGTGCGAGGGGCCAGGAACATCCTCTTCCCGGAAAAATCCTAAAACCCCAAGGAGGATAATGTTGGTTAAGAATGGGGACCCTCGATTCCAGCAGACAGTGGTCCTCAGTCACAGAGACACCAGGAGCCTGTCGGCCTTTCTCAGCAGAGCCACAGGCCTTCTGCACTTCCCCGTGAAGCAGGTGTACACGCCCAGTGGGGAAAAGGTAGGCTGTCGGGCATGATGTTTTCTTTAAAAAGTTCTCTGGACCTCAGAGCAAAATACTTAGATGGGATGTGGAGGTCATCCTTAAAAAGAGGGGCTGTTGCCCGGCCGGTGTAGCTCAGTGGTTGAGTGTCCATCTATGAACCAGGAGGTCACTAGTTCGATTACATGCCCAGGTTGTGGGCTCAGTCCCCAGTGAGGGGCATGCAGGAGGTAGCCACTCAAGATTTTTCTCTCATCATTGATGATTCTCTCTCTCTCTCTCTCCCCCTTCCTCTCTGAAATAAATGGGGAATATATATATAGCTGTTGCCCTGCAGCTAATTAAAAGTAGATAGGGTAGAGGCGTTCATCAGTTAATCAGACAATTGTTATTCATATTATTAGCTATCATTTAGCGAGCACTTAGTGAGCCCCAGACACTGCCTTGCACACTTTCATGACTTTCTTCTCCAATTCTCCTATTATCCAATCTATTGCGTGAGAGTTCAGTGCAGGAAACAGAAACTACTCGATGTACCTTAAGCAGAAAGCAGTTTAATACAAGGCATCAGGGGGCTTCCGAATCTTCAGACATCTGGAGGGATGAAGTCTGGGCTACAGGATGGCTCTGAAACTCTGAGGGAGCTGCTACCTCTGCCTGGAGCTGCTGTGATCACTGAGCTCAAGCTGGCATCTCGGCTGTGGCATCCAGGCTTCTGAAGCTGAGGTCTGGAAACTGCCGCATGTGCACCTTGACGCACGGGGACACTGGAACGCCGGCTCTGACCATTGCTGCGGAGCTGCCACCGTCTCTGATAATGTGTTTAGAGCTTTCTAAGTCCTGCAGGACTGGGACGCACACCAGAAAGACAGTGGGTTAGACATTGATGAATCTAGGGCATAGCCTCCACCACACCGACTCTCAAGGCAGTCAATATTATCCCATTTGTGGAGATAAGAAAATGGAGGCACAGAGGTTAAGTCATTTGCTCACAGCTGTATGGCTGGGAATGCTAGGGCCCGCCTTCATGATTTCAGAGTTGTGCTGTAAGAACACTTCTGAATTGTGGTGCATTGGCGGTGCTCTAGCATGTGCTGCATGCAGATGTTACAGACAAATAGGACTGGGTCCCTACCATCAATTGGCTACAGTTGTGAGAGGGAGAGAGCAGGTGCAACATAAATTAATTGGAGGAAAAATTAGCATATTTCCATATAGACTTACTACAGAGCTATTAGCGTTTCTGTAAACAAAGCAACTTCATTGCTCCCAGGACAGGCTGTGTCACAATTATTTGATTATTCGTTTGCAGGCTCTCAACTGGATGGACACTCTCAATAATATTATTTTTTTTTCCTCATGAGTCCTAGACCTCTATCTCTTTCTAAAAAGGGAGCATCATTTCGCTTTGAATTCTGCTTTCTTCCTTGGAAAAGTCTGATTTTCTAGAAGCATGGCTACATCTGCAATTGGTAGAGTTGGGTCACCCACATTTGCATTTGTGCAATGGACCAGTGATCTGAACCAAAAGAGAAAAGTACCTGGTAGTTTGAGACCAACTTTTGATGAACTGGGTTGAGAGATCTGGTGGACAGCACACTGAATGTCATCGTGGGAGGAGAAGCTGCAAGCGTTCTCTCTTTTGTTTCCATTTCCTTGTTAATGAACATACCCTTCTAATTTGAGAGAATGAAAAAGAGCAGATTCAGCACTTTAAAGATGGAACTAAATTCCCCAACACTGCTCATTACAATGTAATGCTATAAATAGTACAAACCCTCAGATATGCAGGGGCCTCGGGGGCCAGGTGAGGTTTTTCTAAAAGCAGGGACCTGTTTCCTGGAATGCAACCCAGCACTGATGTTGCCCACGCAACTCTCAGCCCAGGACATCCAGCTGGTGGGGCTGTGGCTGGGCGGGAAGGGGATGACAGGAGCATCTGGGCAGGAGCTGGAGAGCCCTTCCTTAGAGGAGACTGGGATGGAAGGGGTCCCTGTACAGAGAACAGTGCCTTGCTCTTCTCCACTCCATGAGGGGCAGAAGCAGAGGCGACAGGCTCAGATTACACTGGAAAAACACAGATCAAACCCAAGAGAGGGCTCTGCCTGGGAAAAGGTGGAATAGTGAATCAGGTCTCCATATGGAAGCTGGTTGCTTTAAAAAATGCCTATTCTGGGGGGGTATGAGTGTGGGCAGGGAAGCAGACCAAAGCTTCATGAAGTCTTTTCCAGCTGAAGCATCCAGCATAACCTCTAATCCACAGCCTCTTACAGGAGGGTGTAGGTGGAGAGGAAGATCAGGGGGTAGGACCTCAGTCCCGCACTGGTTATGGCAAATGAATGGAGATCCTTCCCTTGGATCTGAAATCTGGGGTGAAATGGGCCAACATCAGGAAAGGGCCAGAGAGAGGGATTCTTTCTCTACCTGTGTCTCCCCGAGCAGAAGGGAGGTTCTGCAGACCAGGCCTCCTGACTCAACACTCTCCTTCTTCAGGTGGGTTCTCTGAAGGCTCTGCTGCGCAGCCCCTCGGTGCTGGTGTGTGCCGGCCATGAGCCCTTCAGACCTCCGGAAGGTGCCAAAAGAAGTGGGACTGGAACTTTATCGGGGCAGACGTCAAGGAACAAAAATGGTGAGTGCGTGTTGGAGTTTCCCCAGTGTGGTTTGCACTGAATGGTGGATCGGGAGAGCTGGGCAGATATTCCTTCTAGATAATTTAGGGATCCTGCCTTTGGCACCAATTCTTGGACAGCCAGTTGTTTGGGGTCTCTCTTGCTTCTTCTTCCTCATCACATCACCATCAACCTAGACCGGGTTGAGCATTTGACTGGGGTATGAGAGAGGGAAGTGTGGTATTTAGAGATTAAGGATTAGGAAGAGATCTTCTACTCTAAGTTTCCAGGATCTAAAATAAGCTTTATTAAGGACGATGGTGGGCATGAGATTACAGAGGCCATGAGCTATAGGTATGTGGCATTTGCATCTTTTAAGGGCCACGACTCTCTTAGACAACAGTGAGGGCCAAATGGGCTAAAACGAATGATACCCATCAATCATCTTTCCAACCCATCCATCTAAACATCCCACCATATCCACCCAAAGGCCTACTATGTGCCAGAGTTTAGGGTTTGTTATTTTAAAAAAACAAAACAACACATTCTTTTGAAAGCACAATTAACAATTATAGAAGAAGAGTTTCAGCAAAGTTATTGGAATGGCAATAGGCAAATTTTGGCAAGTCAACAAATAATATCCTTTGTGAAAAGCTGTTGAGAAATGACAATAATGGTGTCAGTGATTGCCGCATGCCAGGCATAGAGCTACAGAGACCCCTTAGCCACAGCCCCTCCCTGGAGGAGCCCCCCTTCTCATTCGGTGCTTATGAAAGCGCAGTTTTACGAAACCTCTTCCTGCTCAGATGCACTCGTGGTGGTCTGCTCTTTTGCTGGCCACAGGCCCACCCTCCACTAGCCCCTTCCTCTTGTCACGTGTTAGCTCAGGAGATGAAATGAGAAAGTGCTAGGGCTGCATTCTTTCTTGAGGTTCATTTCTTTCTGTCTGCAGTAGCTCTTGCAGCGGGGGGGGGGGGGGGGGGTGTAGGCTTGACTATCAGGACCTGCTATTGTGTGTCCAGGTCCTCCTTGCAATCATTTATCAACTCCAAAGCTTGATGAGTGTCAGGATGATAAATCACCACTAATAATTGCAAAGCATTTTACAGTTTGCAATCAGGTGCGTATGCAGCAGCTTATTGATTTTACTGCTGGGGGTGTGCGGGCGTGAGCAGGGCTAGGAGTTAGCGCTGAGCACTGCTACTCTGCCGGCCTCCCCTGCTGTCTACTGAGAACGCACCATTCTGCAGGAAGTTTTGTTTGTTTGTTTGTTTGTTTGTTTTTAGGAAGTTTTTATATGCATTGCCTTGCATTGTCCAAACACACTTCCAAATAGATACCATTATTCATATATATATTATTGATTGTTTACAGAGAGGAAGGGAAAGGGAGAGGGATAGAGAGCTAGAAACATCGATGAGAGAGAAGCATCAATCAGCTGCCTCCTGCACACCCCCTACTGGGGATGTGCCCGCAACCAGTACATGCCCTTGACCGGAATCGAACCTGGAACCTTTCAGTCCACAGGCCAACGCTCTATCCAGTGAGCCAAACCGGCCAGGGCCCATTATTCCTATTTTACAGCTCAGAAAAGAGGCTCTGCCAAAAGCTACACAAATAGGAAGTGGCAGGGTTGAGACTGAATTCAGGCTTCAAGTTCATCTCACTTTGCTATGCAGATTCACAAACAGCAGACTGGGTATTTGTTCTAGAATGGTTTCTGCCCTGCTGTGTGGTTTGGAGGCGGCAGGGTGTTTAGGTGCGAGAGGCTCCTGTCCAGCCTTTTTGCTCCTGCCCTAAAGCTGCCCCAGCCGCTCACTATCTTTTCCTCTTTCTCTTCCTCTGCATCGTGTGCCAGGGAGCTGGGGCCCCAAGGCCAAGCCAAGCATGACCCACTCGAGGTCCAGGCCGGGAAGCAGGCCGCAGCGGTCTTCCTTGCTGTCAGAGAGGGCTGGTCTCGGCGACCCCCTGGTGTCCCCGCATCACACCAGGGTGGGCCCTGCTCCCGACAGGCACCCTCAGGACATGCCTGCCCAGCTGGGTCCGTTGGTGGCCCGTGATGGCGTGGAGAAGAAGGTGCACTTGAACGAGGACGGCAGCCTGTCTGTGGAGATGAAAGTCCGCTTCCACCTACTTGGCAACGACATGATCCTGTGGCCCAGGAGGGCCGGGAGGGCCAGTGGGCAGGGCCCTGTTCCCAGGGAGGCAGACCCCCTCCACTGTGTGTGGGAGGGCCACCCTGGGGGCTCCTCGGAGCCTGGGACACAGGGGCTGGGGACCCGAGAGGCAGGATGCACAGAAGCCTGTGAGCGAGGCCAGTGGCAGCCAGGGTCCGGATATGAGATCTGGACGAACCCCCTGTACACCGCCCAGAGAGAGGGGACGGCCTCCTGGGGGAGGTCCCGGCTGGCCCAGCACTCCCCCTGCAGGGGCCCCTGGAGCCCAGGGGTGGCCGGCAGGAAAAGAAGCAGCCAGGACAGCGGCAGCCCTGCCTCCAGTGACAGAGCCCCCGAGGGCTCTGAGCCAAACTCCTGCTGCTCCAGGTCCCCAGAGGGCAGCATGGCCAGCTGTGCCCTGCACCTGGCCTCCGGGGCTGCCCCCCAGAGAGGATCAGGGTGGGAAGCTGGTGGCACACCCCAGGCTGCTGAGGGCCCAGGTCCAGAGGGAGCAGGGCCGGGCAGCAGGGGCCACCGCTGCCCGGAACCCAGGGCCCAAGGCGCGGCAGGTACTTTTTCTGACGCCTCAGCTAGTGCCGGGGCTCAGGAGGAGTCCAGTGAAAGGGGTGAGCGGCACCAGGGCCACGCCAGCAGGACCAGGCCGGTGACTTCCCCACGGAAGGCCACCCCTGGGGCAGGACCCTGCTCCTCTACTGCGAATCCCTCGTCTTTGAGGAACGAGGACCCACGGGCGGAGGGGAGTGAACAGGACACTGGACCCCCGCAGCCCAGGGGTGGGTCTGGGAGGAGACTGCCCCTGGCTTCCGGCCCTTTGGGCTCTGGGGACACTGCAGAAGGCTGTTCCCTGGCCTCCACCTGCGACTCAGCCACAGGCAGGAGAAGAGAGCAGGAGAGCAGAGCCAGTGCCCTGTCCTCACCCAGCATTTCTGGCCTTGGCCGAGGGGCCCAGAGAGGCCGCCCCAGGCAGCTCCACAGCCGGAGGCACACCCACTGCCCGCTCGACTCACCTGTGTCCAGGCCAATGCTGGGCCCCCCCAGCACAGGCAGGCTCTGCCCAGCCCACCCAGCACCACGCTTTTCTGGAAGCTCCTCTAGCGCCAGGAATCCGGCCTCCCAGGACCCAGGGCCACCCTCCTTGGCCTCTCCTAACTCCCAGAACGCACGAGAGGTCAGCAGTGTCCCTGTTACTCCTGTGAGCAGTTTGGACTGTGCTTCCAATTTCTACCCCCGATTCTCTCCCTCTGCCGAGACCGAGTTCAGGTCACACTCACTCTCCACCACATCCGACCCTCTCAGCTCCCCAGGAGGTGGCCTGGGAGGAAAGGCAGGGGGTGTCCTCAAAGCTTCCCGGCCCTTGAGCCTGCCAGTTGGACAGCATGAGGGGGGCAAGCCAGGAGCCCACCGAGGGGGCTGCGGCTCACAGATGGGCACATCCCGGGCCTGCAGGGCCCATGGTGGTGAGACGCAGGCCTTGCTGGCCCCTCAGCCTCAGGGCAGCCAGGGGTCCCTCTCTAAGCCCTGCTTGGTGTGCAGCGGGTACTGTCCCACTCCGCCCAGGGCAAGGCCCCCTGTCAGGAAACACTCTTCGTGCAGCAGCAATGGAGACCATGGTGCTCACTGGGTGCCAGGGGCCGCCGAGCAGGGGGAAGAACCGCTAGACGTGCAGCGCCCAGGGCCCCCCAGATCTCTGTCAGGGGGCATGGGGACAGCAGTCAGAGCAGTGAGAAGGGGCAGCCCCAGCCCAGGTCCCCGGCCTGGGAGAAGGTTCCAGGCACAGGTCGCTGGTGGAGGGGAAGACCTGGAAGAGCAAGAGGACAGTGGTCGCGTGACGCCGGGTGCTCTGCCCCGGGCCTCGCCAGAAGCCGTGGTCCGTGGATGGCTGAGCAACATCCCGGAGGAGCCCGTGCCCCTGAGCTATGAGATGGTGGATGACAGCATGGAGGTGGCTGGGGATGGCCCGGAAGGCCCCACGGAGGACCCTGTTGACACACATCCCCCAGAAGGCCTGGAGGAGCCCATTCAGGCCAGACGACCGTCCCTGGAAGGGGCCACCAGCGAGCAGGCAGACCCAGAGGGAGCCCTCCCGGTGACTGGTGACGCTGGTCCCCAGCCAGGAGAGGGTCTTCCTCCCAGCAGGGCTGCGGAAGCCCCCGCGGAGGCTGGAGCAGGTG